GAACGTATTTTGCTTCAAGATTACGAACAAAGGAAGCGATTAGAAATCCAAGCAAGGAAATCTGCAAAGATGGTTCGCGATAACGTTCTACCTTCACCGCTACCAGCCCTCTCGTCCACCAGCGCTTCAAATATATCTGGTCAGGCTATTGATAATGAAAACCAGTTTACTAACATTATCAATATTTCGAACATCAAACTTACAAACCCTGAAATGTCTCTTCTTTCTCGTGGTCTCAACTTCTGTCCGGCAACTGGCAGGTACAATGAATTTCAGCTCGTAAAGGACCTTGACGACTTCGCGCGGAACATGAGACTACGTGAATTTTTTCATGAACGATCCTCAACTAACAGCGTGTCATCCAGTAAACATTGGACACCACCGGTACAACGTGACAAGTGCCTTGATATGTGCATTGTAGCTGTCCAACACGATATTCTTGAAGCATATAACCGGAAAAATTCTTTCAAACACAACTTGACCTCAAATGAAAGGAAAGCCATTAGGACATTGCAGAACCGTTCAGACATTGTTATCAAGCCCGCTGACAAAGGCGGTGCAGTAGTGGTAATAAATACCTCCGACTATATCACTGAAGCATTGAGACAGTTAGGCGACACTGCATACTTTAGGCAGCTCAGTCACGACCCAACTGAGGACTTTAAACGTATTATTGCCGAGGCCCTTGGGGAACTTTTACAAAAGGGTGCATCAGTAAAAAGACGATGGAATCGCTAATACCGCTTAGTCCTGTTGCAGGAAGGTTTTATTTATTACCGAAGGTGCACAAACCAAGTAACCCCGGTCGTCTAATAGTTTAGGTTACTGAACCTCTTTCCGGCTACATTGACGCTCTCATCAGAGTAATTCCCGCCTCCTTTCCCTCGTATCTTCGAGACACTAACCATTTCTTGAGTGACATTGCTGATCTTGACGTCCCCGACAAAGCGCTACTAGTCACTCTAGACGTAGCTTCTCTATACACGAATATCCCGCATGACGACGGCATTCAGTCTGTAATACGTGCATATGACGAATCTTCGCTAGACAAACCTATTGACAGCTCAACTCTAGCCTCCCTTTTAAAACTAATTCTGCAACTAAATAACTTCGAATTTAATCAAACTCACTATGTACAGACGAGTGGCACCTCGATGGGCACGAAGATAGGACCGAATTACGCCAATATATTGATGGGCACATTGGAGGACAGGTTTCTTGCCACGTGCGCCATAAAACCGTTATACTATAAGCGCTTTATTGACGATATCTTTTTGATATGGCAGCACGGGGAAACTGAACTTTTGTCTTTTGTGGAAAGCTTTAACAATTTTCATCCATCAATCTCCTTCTCGCTCGCCTACTCTGCATCAAACATAAACTTTCTGAACGTCACGGTATGCATATCAGGAGACAAACTAACGACAAAGCTTTACAGAAAGTCGACTAATAGACACCGCTACCTTCATTTTGAAAGTAGCCACGTAAGACACAACAAGACAAGCATACTGTACAGCCAGGCGCTCCGTTTTAAAAGGTTGTGCTCCGCACAATCTGACTTCAGGGATAATTGTGACAAGCTCACTGATGCGCTAAGAAGACAAAAGTACCCGCCTCAGATAATTGACGATGCCGTTAAACGTGCTAATGAAGTGTACAGGAGCGTGCCCTCCACTCCAACAAGCCTGCTCAACAGCGACCATCTACAAACCTCATATTAACGTATTCCGCATCAGCACCAAACGTTAACCACATCCTACGAAGGCACCACAACATTCTTATGCAGAGCGACCATCTCAAAAACATATTTCGGAATCGCCACGTGTAGTCTATATCGCCGGTCGAGAAACTTGCACAATATGCTGACTTCATCTGTACTAACTCATCCTGCCTATTCAGGTTGCCACCCTTGTGGCAAACCACGTTGCAAGGTTTGCGTACACATGACCACCTCTATTTCAGCCCACAGTTCGGCGTCCAATTTCACAATGAAAATTAATGGTGGTTACGATTGCGATACAAGTAACTGTGTGTACCTACTTGAGTGCTCAGTCTGTAAGCTTCAGTACTTAGGCCAGACAGCAACACCATTCAGACTGCGGTTTAATAACCACAAGGCGCATGTCACAACTTTTCCTAACCTACCCCTATCTAAGCACCTGAATGCGACAGGACATTCACTCGCAACCATATTAGAATCTGGTTTTAAGTCTCACCACGAACGGGAAGCACGCGAATCATTTCTCATCTACAAATTTAAAGCACTGTCATTCGGCATTAACGAAAGCGCAGGAAAGCTCACGTTCCTGGGCGCACGTTCAGCAACAGGATCACTATGTCACGGACAAGGCTAAATTCCCTATCACATGTCTGCCGCTTTCATCAGTTTTCAGCCTGTTACATACAATTCTGTTATATTTCGTTCTCATGAATGCCATGTATCTCACTTTTACCTAAGTTTTTTTTTTTTCAAATCACCATTGCCACATAATTCACCTATGTTTTCTTTATATTGCTGTTCTCGTTGCTTTACACCTGTTTTTTGTTAATTCTTTTAGCACATGGTTGCTGGTTGTTTACCTATGTTTCTTGTTAGTTCATCGAGTTGTTTTAACGCAATATTGTTAAATGCATTCGTGGTACATAATCACCCCTGTTATGTTGATCCTTTCCGTGACTGTGAAAAACGCCCTTTTTGGCTGCGCAGACTTCACCGTATATTATCATTTCGTGATATAGTCTTGTCATTATCACATCGTGCTGTTTCGCATATTGATTTGTGTGCCACTGTCGTTAATGTGACATTTGATATTAAATAGGCACGTGTTGGGGGCCCCCAATGCATATAAGCAGCACGTTGACGTTTGCAATGTATTCCCTGACGAAGGCCGGACCCCGGCCGAAACGTAGGAGCAATAAAAGTTTTCGCACCTTTCTCCGCTCAAGCCAATTTCTATTCATCACTGGATGAATAGAAAAGACACTCGCTGGATATATATATATATATATATATATATATATATATATATATATATATATATATATATATATATATATATATATATATATTATATATATATATATATATATATATATATATATATATATATATATATATATATATACCTGCAGTATAATTGTCTAACAACGACACTTACACTACAACCTTGGTAAAGACGAAGATTTCCTTCAGGTAATTGGCGAGCGTGGTGCCTTCTTTCAGTCTCGTCTTTTCTTGGACGTCTTCCACGCTCTTGTATCCTAAGTCCAAGCCTTTTGCCTGTTAGAACATGTTATGAACAAGGTTATGTGCTTTCAGAGTAAAACACCGAAGCATGGGTGCTATACGAGATGTTTTTGGTGTCTTCGTTTTGTTTTGCGCAGAGCAGAGTGATCATCACTAATTGCCAAGTTACCTGTTCTGATGCAAAATGCTTTAACTCCAAGGCCATCCTTTGTGAGTACCATAGATAACCATGCTGTAAAAGACGACTGCCTTTTCTCGCCCAACGCCTTTTTACTGAGGAGCTGTTCTAAGCAAAGCCTGTTCCGTAAGCACGCCACCTTATTGGCAAACAGGTCACGTGACCAAAGGGGGTGCGAATAGATAAATACGTGAAACGAAATTATGATGATCATGATCATGATGATGATCAATGGTGTTGACGGTGACGATGGTCGAACCCACACTAAGCTGTCTCAGTCTACGCTCGCACTTGCAGCTTCACCATCCGACTGTTCGCATGGCGTGGAAGTGGTTATTTTTTTCACGCGCTCTATTACGAGTTGTGCATGGTTTATTATTTCTATCTCCAAATAAATAAAAATTCATTGTCGAAACTCTGACACACCATGCAGTGTTTTTCCGCGCCTGTACAAATCTCGCTCCCATGGCCATTATTTCATATCCAGCCAGGTGCACTAGGCAGCTTTTTGTAGTTATCGTTGTTGAGAGCTTATCCAGGAAAGCAGGGGACAGTGAGTGGTCATCTGTAGCGAGAAGGCCATGCCCACCTTTGTTTAGGAAAGCATCTGTCCGTACTTCTCAATGCCAATAAACGTTTATCATCTCTCTTTCTTTATCTCATTCGTATTGCGCATCTGTTGCTCCCTCGTTCCCGCAAAGCCCTCGAGCCTCAGTGGTATTAACGGATAAGCTTTCTCTTAAGATGGAATTTCGTCTAGCTGAGTAGGTTGTGTGTAACCACCGGTGAAAAGACATACTTTCGTTCACTTTTCTGTCTTCACAATTACATTACAATTACTTCTGTTAACATCCCCTGCGCTTTCCCTGGCGTTGTCTCTTAGTTCTCATTATTATTGGGTAAGAAAGAAAACCAGCCTTTAAATTTGTACTGGTCTGCACAGTCTAAGCCGTGAAATTAACGGGAGATTTAATTTCCATCTCTCGGGTGCAAATTATATCCACGAGCGACCTTGTTACAATTTTTTTTACAATCAGACTCATGCAGTTCATTGTGTAAAAGGCCCAAGACTAAGCAATACGTACAAGAACGCAGTACAAGAACGAGTATAACAGTTAAGAGTCATGCAACTTTTCCCTATCATAATACAAACAGAGAAGGAAAAGAGTCACCGGTCTGGTGATCTGTGGTTATTATAATTCCGCTTCTTATTACGTCGGCGCGTGCAGGTGACTCAGAGTAATAGCCGTGAGGAGTGTTTTCTTCTAGGGGTTGAGGCTGTGGGGGAGGGATAAATTGCGCAATAGCCTATAAATCCCCGTTGTTCTCGTGCCACTAAGTGAAACATTGCCCCCCCCCCCCTCCACCCGCGCTCGCCTATACTCGTAGTATTAGATAGAGCGCTTACTGTACAACTTCTGAGGGCTATTGCCAATCATGAGTTCCCCACGCACTCGGCTTGCATGTAGCGCTCGAAAGTACACGTATTGAAATTAGGACAAATCTCTTTATGAACCCGCCGTAAGCTCGCTTCCATTTCCACGAACATGCATTTCGTTGAACTGTTATACTTAACTGTGCCAGCTCCCAAATGGTCTCATGACGCATGCCGGTGGTCAGGTGGCTGTGTAGCTGGATCTGAAAGGTGAACAACTCAAGCTAGATCACGACAGAATAATGTTGATTGGACGGAGACGCCACAGGCTACCGTCTCTCACACAGTCCGCTAACTCGACAAGTCCAAGAAACTCACTATGAGACCCAGTCCCATATGATCCTTCGGTGCAAGGAATGTAAGATTTCAACTGTGATAAGCTGTAAGGAATGTTCAAGCGAATTAATGCACGAATGATTGAAGACCTATTGATATGCTAACCTGAAAACCATTTCATTACTTTTCAAGAAGGAATTGTAATTTATTGCCCTTTGATTCAACCAGCTGTGATTCATCCCTTTTTATAATTATAAAGCTAGATTTCCTGTCATGCAGTTAGTTTATAAAGCGGCAGCTACTCGCTTCTGAAAACGGCGTGTTTAATGGCGGAATCCGTTGGGAGGGCAGAAGCACTCGAAAGCACGCTGGAAGTGCTCTCTTCAGAGCCGGCGTGTTTCAGTGGTCGAGCAGGAAAACTAAGAGCACTTTCATCCATGGGTAGAGCGAGAGTGCTTTTGCTGCGCCCAGAGCAGCCAGGCGTAGTTTCTTATCGCCTGAAAAGCGGAGTAGGCCAACACACTCTAAAATTCTAGGTGCTGTTGAGTAGGCGGTGTCTAGGTGCTGTTCAGTAGGCGCAGTCAAGGAGAGTCACGTGACATTTGAACGTCACAGTCTCCGAATTTTTCGTAAGCCGGCGAAGTCGGTGGCAATGGCAGCAAGCATGTGTAGTTCGACACTGCCGTTTCGTACGGGTGGCGACGGTGACAGCCGGACGTCTGCCGAATGCGTCGTTGCACAAACATACTGCGAATTGGGATAATAGAAAACAGGTGACTCACCAATTTCACGCGTATTTTACTGCTGCCCCCTAGGGAATGCTGGCGCTTTGAATATATATAGTGGTTCTTGAAGAAAGAAAAAGGACACCTGATTTCTGTCTGCCATTTGGCGACACAGCCGAGTGGGCTTGGAATGTTTAGATCACATGGTCTCCCCAGTCGTCACTCTCTCACCTGCTCTCCGTTAGCACTCCGCATTCGAGTGGCAGTTTGGGTGACCCTGCTCTGAGTGCTCTGCCTCCCACTTCTCCCTGTACTGCGCCTCTACTCATGTTCACTCAATCGAATTCGTCATAAGCGTAGATTTCTTGCCCTATGACGCGGAAAACGTTGACGCTGCTCCGTGGATATAAACACGCATTGCAGACCAGCCACGCACGAACGAAATGATATCCTCTTCACTTGAAGGGCAGCAGGTGCAGCCACTGGTTGCGAAATAGAAAAAGGAAGCATCGACGTGCATTTGGTTCCTGCCTTTTCGAGGATAAAGATAGGGGATAAATCAGTCAATGGAATGCAACATCAGTAGTCGTCGGTCGATATTGCCGTCAAACGCCATTACAGTCCTTACCTTGTCTTGAGTGAAAGGGCAGAACAGGTCCGACTAATTAAACATATTGGGGCAGACATGGTGCATGCCCCAATGTGTGGCGGGGGCTAAGGGGAGGCACCCCCCTTTCCTCTCCGTGTGACCCTCGTGCGTGCACTGCTATAGTTGCTGTGTCTACCATCTTGAGCCAACTTAATACCTTGGGCTTCGAGCCGGAACGCCAGGTTGATCTAACGGCAGCTTAGTACACGGGCAGCGATACTCACGCATACCTTTTTGAACTCGTATACAATTATCACTGTTCAAAATAACCTATAACAGAGAGAGCACTTCAAAACCGCCTATGTACGGATGTCCTTGAACGATGAAATTAGGTGCATACCTTGTACTTTAGAACAGCCATTTTCCGAAGCTTCGTGATCAACAGGTCTACTCTGCACTGCAGCTGCAGTTAGACAGCGCCGGTACCCAGCACATGCATTAAATTCAAGCGTAAAACAATTCTAAAAATAAAAGTTATTGCACCTTAAGCCGCCACATGTCCCCTCTTCGTTATCATGTATACCCGTTTCTGCAGCTGGCGTGTGTATACCAACTGTGTCCCACATTTACAACAGCACGTTTGTGTTTTTTTCCTAGCTCTCGTAAAAAAATAATAAGCATTTTAAAGGCAGGGTTTAAAATCTCGTCACAGCACCGGTGCAGCTGCTGAGGTGCGCACGCACGCACGTACAGCAGAGAGAGAAGAGACAACTCAGCGGCTGTCTTAATATTATTTTCCGACGATTTGACCGGTGGACTGGCCTTCGTCAGGGCTTATGAACATTGCATACATACATACATACATACATACATACATACATACATACATACATACATACATACATACATACATACATACATACATACATACATACATACATACATACATACATACATACATACATACATACATACATACATACATACATACTACATACATACATACATACATACATACATACATACATACATACATACATACATACATACATACATACATACATACATACATACATACATACATACATACATACATACATACATACATACATACATACATACATACATACATACATACATACATACATACATACATACATACATACATACATACATATCATCAGCCTGACTACGCCGACTGCAGGACAAAGGCATCTCCATGATCCGACAAGCAATCCGTTCTTGTGCTTTCCGTTGACTTCATGCTCTCCCATAAGAGAATACCATGTACTCTAAATTGTTAACCACTTTTTTAAGAACACATTGAAGGTAGCCTAGCGCGGTCTCGTAGTAGAGAAAGATGTTATAAGTCATCTCCATTCACTGTATAGACAACGCAACACATTCGTACTCACTATTAGGGACAGCTGTCAGTAACTCTCCAGTTGTCGTCTGCGTAGTACCATAATACCCCTGGACATTATTACGCTAGCTGCACTGAGCTATATTTGGCTAAAACCATTTTTTTTTTACTGGTCGGCACCTCTGTCTACGTGATGCTGCCAAGCACGTCCGCCAACCGTGGCACCGGCGTTTTTATGCGTGCAAGCAATGGATAGATGGATGAACTTCACAAGGTCCTCCGGAAAGCGTTTCAGCCCTGCCTAAAGTAATTGCAGCAATCCCAGTCAAACGGCGACCCCTGGTGAAAGAAAACGAAGATCTGCACTGAGGCAGGCAGGCAGGCAGGCCGAATCGAAGCCCGATTCACAGCGAAACAGTGCTCGCAACCTTTGTTAGGCGGCAGCATCTCCTGGAAAGCGTCTCGCCAAAAAAGCCTCGAGAATTAGAATGTGGACCGATGTACCTCGCGCCCGTTTGAAAAAGCAATTGCACGAGATTTGAAACACCCTGGTGACGATGAACATGGGTGCTTACGCCGAATGTCTATCTTACCCTTGTGTGGCCTACCCGCTGATTCATCCTCATTCTTTCTGTTCCACGGCCCGTTCGAACCAGATGATTTTAGGGTTGTGTGAATATTCCACGATTTCAAATAGCGAATCAAATATCGCTCTATTCGATTCGGTACCCGAATGTCTTATTTATCTAATACATGACGTAAAACTACCTCGCCAACGTCATAAGGTTAATTCATAAAACTTGCTGAATATTTACGAATCAATTTTATGCAAAAGCTATTGGCAAAGTATCACCTTGAACGCTGTAGTTACAAGATATTTCGCAGGTTGTAGTCACTGCTGTGTACGAGTTTGTCTTAGTTTAAATAATTGTGGTATTTTCAATCTTTGTGAAAGCTCTTGAATATGCGTTTGAAATAAAATGTTGTGGAATTGTTTGGCTGGTTAAAATTCTTATCATACTACTCTGAAGCTGCACGAACAATGTTCGCCTTACTGATCGAAAACTATTGGAACAGTCATCATCATCATCATCCTGACTACGCCCACTGCAGGACAAAGGCCTCTCCCATGATCCACCAGTCAACTTCGTTATAAAAGTGAACGCTTTAGAAATCCGAATACTACGTAATGTAGTAGGGGAAGGCAGTAAGTTTTTCATGTGTGCATTAAGGCGGTTGTAGCATAGGTTGCGGGGAGTACTAATTTGTGGTGAGTGACATTCTCGACAATTAAGAGTACTAACGTGTGACAAAGCTGATGCCGTGTTTAGGGAAATTTATTCTCACAAACAGTAAGCGTCAACAGCATTCCAAAGAACATAGTCACGAAGCACAACATGCACATACACACCATAGTTCGTAACAAAAGGATATGTTTACATATGTACGTTACATGGTAAACGAAAAACACAAATAAAACTTAAACATGTACAAGTTACGTATTTACATCGTATTTACATAGTATTTCTGCCGGTATCAAACAAACATCAGCCTACCAAAATCAGGCAGGCCAAAAATCAAGCTTCACGCGTCTCTCATGGATGAACACAAAAGGGCAGGTTTCAATTGATTGATATGTGGGGTTCAACGTCTTAAAACAACCTTATGATTATGAGAGACGCCGTAGTGGAGGGCTCCAGAAATTCGACCACCTGGGGTTCTTTAACGTGCACCCAAATCTGAGCACACGGGCTTACATTTCCGCCTCCATCGGAAATGCAGCCGCCGCTGTGGGGATTCGAGCCCACGACCTGCGGGTCAGTAGCCGAGTGCCTTAGCCACTAGACCACCGCGGCGGGGCCACAAAAGGGCAGGACAAGTGGCGAAGGAATTCTTCTTCATCTAGAAAGAACAGTTCCTCCGACGGAACAGATAACAGCCCTGTGTACAGCCGCTCCAAGACCGGTTAGAGATCTTATGTCTGGCAGAGATTGTGCCAAATACAATAAGCACCAGGAGCAATGAAAAGATAGCTGGCGGAGCGGCCTCGAGAGCAACGCCCAGAAAAAACAAAGCGATATACTCCGAGACCACGAAATGCAGCGTGCACCCCCCCCCCCTGAAAACACGAGCAACGATCCATTAATTGCTTCAAAACATGTTGATTTGTTTCCCGTATGGAGCAGTTCAGGCATTTTGATGATTGGATGATTTATTTACCACCTTTTGAGGCGGTCAAGGGTAGGAAGAACGCACCACCTCAGCTGCCACAGAAGTCGCATGGTATTCTCAAAGAGAAAAGAAGAGGAAAGTGAGCCCCGTAGCTGTCTGCATCAGAGTGCGACACCTCAACAGAAGCTCAAGAGGGATGGGGGTAAGGAAGGATTAAAAGGATAGGAATAAAGGTATAGAGATGGAGAGGAGGAAGGAGAGAGCGAGGCGCAGGTACAGCAAACGACAGAAAACGACGGAAGTAAAGAGGAAATAGGAAAGATGAACACGGTCGCAGGAGTCCGAGGACGGGGCACCACTCGGCGAGAGCTTTTGTCGGCGTCAGGAGATGGCGGAGGGGGAGCCCAGTCGGCCAGAGCTGCGCTGTCGTCGGAGATCGCAGGGGCATAACTGGTCGGCACGAAATACAGAGAGCGAGTCCAATCACATTAAGTCCCACTGGTGGCCAGGCTGAAATTGCTGTCAGCGCGCTCCAAGACGCACGACAAGAGCGATTGTGGCGGGCCGGAGGAACTAACGGGAGCAACGAAGCGGTTGTTGTGTGAACGATGGGATTGCCCAACACATCTGCCCGAGGACAGGTCGGCTGGATGTTTTTAGAGGAAATGTTGAACAATTTAGAGCATGATTTGCTCTACTACGAGAAAGCAATAAGCTGTTCCAGTTGCAAAAAGCATTGTTCTGTTGGCCTTTGTATGTTTAGAATAAATGTTCAGCAGTGTTTATAAAAAAGCGCTTAACGATTTAGAAAAGGTTGTTAACGATTTAGACCACTAGGTGCCCTGCCATGGGAGAGCTGTGTGTTTTTGAGTAAGTGGGTAATGATTTAGAGATAGTCGGTACTCTACTGTAGGAGAGCATGAAGCCGTCCCAAAGGGGAGGGGGGAGGATTTGGAAAAAGTGGGTAACGATTTAGAGTACAGGGTACTCTACTATGGGAGAGCTTAAGCCGAGCTCCTACATTACGAAAGACTGCCCCTCCATGTACTGCACAACCTAAGAAAGCAGAAAACAAGTGCACTGCAACGTTGTATCGTCACCAAAAGCCTTCGTGGTCGTTCTGGGTACATGATTAGCTTTTGAAGAATTTCTAGACGCCATATGTAGCAAACGTCAGATAATTATCCCAAACTAAACCCCTCTAAGCTTACTTCATGTCCTTTTAGCCAACGCATTTATTCTTAAGACAACATGAGAAATGTCAGCGTGGAGACGGCTACAATTTTCAATAAACCTTGCACGAGAGGCTAATTTGAGTCTTTTTCAGGGCAGGTAATTGGTAAATGACATACAAAACAATAAGAAGTCGCCATTTCCCTTGAGAGAGAGAAAGCGAGAGAGAGAGAGAGAGAGAGAGAGACTTTATTGAAGAGTCCGTGCTGAGGTCAAAGTTGGCGGGGGACCGAGAGACGGGCCCCTCTGTAACCCCCATCCTCAGGTGGCGGCCAGGCCTTGAATCCTGGCGGCGTCTTCGGCCAGCCGGACAGCCCAGAGCTGGTCCCCCGGGCACGTGATGAGCAGCAAAGCCTCCCACTGCTCGGCCATGGTGACTGTGAAAGTAGTATTCGTGCTGTGTTTAACTGGGTGAGTAGCTGCGGGGAAGGCCCATATAATATGGTCGAGCTCGGCGTTAGGTGCGCCGCACGCTTTGCATTGTGGCGTGTGAACAGCGGGGTAAATACAGCTGTACAGTGAGGGACAGGGGAAAGTGCGTGTCTGTAGTAGACGCCAGGTAGTGGAATGCTGCAAACTAAGGCACTTATCTGGTGGTGGGTATTTAACTCTGGCCTTGCGGTAATACATTAGAATTTCTCCAAAGGTAATCATTCTGTTCCTAGCATTGTCGCGAAACGAGGAGACCATCATCT